CCCTAAAGCAAGGCAGGTCACTTCTTTCCTCGAGCAGGAGGTCACCATCTCCTCAACCAACACCCATCTTTCCCCTCTCCCTCTCATGCACTGTCTGAAGACACCCTGGAGCAGCCACCAGGTTTAAAGGCAACATGATCCCTTAAGTAGACATTGCATTTTTATGGGTCAGAGACCTTTGGCACTCTGTTTTGAAGCTAGGTAAGCAAACAGATAAAAATCCCCTCTGAAAGATTATTCACTGTGACAAAGACAAACAGGTCCCAATTCTGATTCATAAAAAAAAAGAAACTTTTAAGCCTGAATTTGTCCCTATATGATATTCAGATGCAATGGCTTACCATTATGAAGGGAATAAGTGCCTTGAAGAGAACAAGTCCCAGCGAGTGATGGTTTCTAATAAATGCCATTTGATTTTTCCTCAAGAGTATTTCTTGGAAAATACTTTGCTTACTTTGCTTCTAAGAAAAGTAATTTGCTAATGTTTGCCTCATCATAAAATTGATTTGACCTTCTACAAGTAATCTGACATCATGGTGTGTTGCTGAGCCTTTTGAAGTGCATTAGGTTGTTCATACAACAGGGCTTTCTCCTATTTGTTCCATACGGCCTCTTTGTATAACTGACGGAAACATTTCCAAAGCTTTCATGAAAATAACTTCAAACAACTGATAAAAAAATAAAGATTTGAAATTCCAATACAATATGAAATAACAAATTTCAATGGGCGCAGTGAGGAATAACTGTTTTTTGACCAGCACTACTTCTAATGCTTTAAGTCTTGCGAACTATGGCCTCCCTCCTCCCCAGTGTGGATAGCTGCTATAGAGCACGTTGCATTCAGGTTGTTAATTAGAATTAGTTGTGAGTGGCAATATTTCATCTATACCCCTTATGTCTTCAGAGAAATATGATGATGTAATTAAAAAATGAGCTGCACAAGTTAACTTCGCTCATACCCTGTTAATTTGGCAGGCATGTATGGGCCGATGAAGAAGCCATCGATCCTGATATGGGAAGAAGAAGAACCAGACTCATGCAGAGAGAAACCCGAGAGAAAAACACTTGAGAGAAAAAACTCGTATAAATGGAAGACGGTTTTCAAGGCTCCAGGTAGAAACTGCTTATGGCGGTCAAGTGCAGCTGAATATATTGTATTTCTCTCACAATGTCTAAATGAGAGGGAAAATGTCTTTAAAATGTTTTAGCCAATAAGTTGGTTTGTTGTTTTTTTGTTTTGTTTTGTTTTTTTTCCCTTATGGTTTTCAAAATGTCAAAAAAAATTCTTGTTCGTGGCCACTCTTCACCAGGGTTAGTCATCAACAGCTTAAAATATGTGTTCAAAGGTGTAAGCTAATATTCTGGAAAGCTCTTGCTCTCCCAGGCTGAGCTTGTAATTAAGACTACTTGGGTAGTACAGAGCCAACGCGTACAGAATCAGTTCTGCAGAGCCCCCACTGTTGCAGGGGCAACCTGAGCTCCCTCCTCCCAGTATGGAAAAAAATAAAACCCTACAGCTCCCATCAACAAAATACTATTCAGTAGCTGGCAGCACTGGGCTTTTATCAGATGGCAGAAATTCTCCTGGTTTGCTCTTCATGCAGAAGATACTGCTGCCTTAGCATTCACTGAAAGAGATTGGTTGTCGGGGCTAGCTGTTCATAGGAAGGCAGGCTTAGAAATAACCTGCTAATTAAAGCTCGACTTTATTTATTTACATGTCACATTCATTTAGAGTTATTTGTTTGCATTATAAGTTTGTTTGCATTACAAATGACATTATTAGTTCTAATTGCATGCTAAATCTCCTCTGCAATACTTCAGACCTGTAAGTGCCTCAACACCAGAGGCAGACTCTGGGCTTGGGGAGGCGATGGCTCTGGCCGCAGGGTCCCAGGGCACTTTCCTTTCTTAGAGAGAATAACAAAAAAAACCACCCACCAAACAAAAAGCTGTAAGAGCAGGCAGCTAAGCCCTCCTCCATGAAATAGCAGAAAAAGTAGGTATTTTCTCCTCCTTTCCCAGGTGATATGTATTATCTGTGGGGTATATCACAAAAGTAGACGGGTAAATAACCAAGAAATCTGCCACCTAACTCCCTGAATCACCAGCTCTACCATTACTCTCTACAAGCCCCTGCTCCAGGTCCCAGACAGCCAGCACTGGGGGGATCCAGCATTCATGCCCCCCTGCTAACCGCCTGCCGCTGGCTACCGTTGCTCAGTTCGCATTTGAGGGGTAGAGTGCTCACTTGTGCAGTGTGGAAGGAGCTCAGCTCACAAGCGCACCCCTTCCCCACCCAAGCCCTCCTCCCATCCCCACAGCCCCTCTGCAAAGGGCACTGGTAGGAGTGGGACAGGGAAGCAGTGCCTCTGGGTTTTCCGCTCTGGGAGTAAAGCTGTGCTGAATATGCTTTTTTTTTTTTTTGACACATTAATATTCTCTTTTGCTATCGGGTTAGTGGTTGAAACAGCAGCACTTTTCTGTTTGCAGCCCTCTGTGTTGCAGTCCTCTTTTGCCCACTGAACCGTGCCCTGACTTTCCTGAAGAAGAGAAGCCTGCAGCTCCTTGTGCCTCTGCTGAAGTCCAAAAACTGAGAGGTGGGACAGCACGCTCATAGCTTAGTTACATGCACCTGACAGAGCTAACCAGGATCTCCTGCAACGGCAGCTCTTACCTCTGCTGGGACAAGGAAGGGTGACCCAACCAGTAGAAAGAGGGCTGGGAAAGCCACCTGGGAGCAGCCTCCTGCCCTCTCCAGCGCTCTGATACCTGAAGGACGCTGCCTTTCTGCACTGTTCTGGGCCCCCAAGGAGTCCAGCCCAGGGCACAGCCACGTGCAACCAGCCATCTGAGGGGCAAAGACAAACCAAATATGGCTTGTGCTCCCTTAACTGGTAAATGCTGTTGTGTACTATCCCAAACAGCTGTAAAACCACAGCTGTCAACACCAGTGCGTGTTCACATGTATAGAAATCTCATGTCGTATTGAGTGATGTGACCCAAATGTGCATTAAATAACTAACAAATACTGACACACAACCTTTTGCAGGTTCTGTCACTGGCTTCAGTGGTGGGTGTTTACCCAGAACTCAGTTCTGCCCTATAAGCACTGCCACCCAACTCACCGGGAGAGCAAAAGGATGGGCTCTCCCAGCAAGGAGGCACAGGCACTGCTTCAGAGCCTGCTGCTATACGAGCAAATCCTCCTCGGAGCTCTGCAGCCAGAGCTACCGCAGATTTAGGTTGGCAGCGACCACTAGACCAGCCAGCTCTGTCTCCAACACTGAGGCAGAGTGTTAGCTGCTCTCCAGCATCTTGCTGGAATTTAAGAGGCACAGTAGTTGATTTTAAAGGGCAAACCCCAAAATACATTGTAGCTTGTTTACTGCTGGATCATCTCTCCCCCATTCCACTCTTGCAGGCTGTGATGGCACTTGAATTACATTTACTCCAGCACATGACTAAGAGAACAACTGAACTGATGTATCCCCCAACACCCCTGCTCAAGACAAAGCATCCAGAGCCTGCTGTGACTTATTGATCCACGCTTTAGGATGGCGGGGCGGGGGGGTGTTAAAAAAAAAAAAAAAAAGAGTAAAACTGCAAATAAGATGAATCTCCAGGTGTCCCCACTCATCGGAATAATCTTTTCTTGCTAAAGGGGAGAGTGTCCCTGGCTCTCCATCTAACACTACCTTCACACATCCTGTTCTCAGTAGCACCTTTGCTTTGACCTTTGAGTTTTGGATGAGGGCCATAAGGCATGCTGTAGATTCTACGTTGAACATACAGGCGGAAATAAAGCCTGTTCCCCTACTGCAACATGTTGACCAGTGTCTGCTGTAGCAGCGGTGATAAAGTGCAGGTGTGATGACGCAGGCAATGCAGTAAAGTGGCGGTAGGAACGAAGTCAGTTGAAATGCTTGAACAGCACTGAAAAGCTAAAACTCTCCCAATGTCTTTCAGCCAGGAAGGAAACCCACAGAGCACTACACGTTAATACTGTCATGCCACAATGAAAAAAATGCTACGGGAAGGAGCATAGCTGGGATCAGAAGTGACAAACTCCTGGCAGGGGAGGATTACGAGTGGTGACTTCAATCAAGACAATGCAAAACTGCAGATGAAGACAGAAAGCACCTACTGAACCACAGACAGGTCTCCAACTCCCTTGCAAGTCTAATCTGTAAGGAAGAAAACACCAAGACATTGAAATTTTGGGTTGTACAGTACACTGTACACACTGGGACATGCACAGAGGAAAAAACCCAGCTTCTTAGGTGAAAGGAAATAAAGGAAGAGCTCTGCTGGGAAGAAAAATGCTAGGGCTTGTTTTTCATTATCTAAAGCCACAACTCGGAACTGTCTGACTGATGATAAGAGATGTCACCCACCCAGGGAGCTGGATCCAGAGAGAAAAAGGAAAGCTTTCGAAACAGCTTCTGTAAGACATTAAACCAGCTTAATATCAAGCCAGACTGAAAACAAACATTTTTATTCCAGAACATCAAAGCATTGGGATAGAACATGCTAAAGCAGAAAATTCCTGAATGAAAAGCTTGGGGTTTTAGTCTTTACATATTTGGCAAGTAACCAGTTATATGAATAATGCCAAACCCACATATTCTGCAGAATGTCCCAGGAAAGGTTTCCTTTAGCCAGAAACCCATTTTGAGCCAGAGCTGCCAACTGCCTCAGTGTGTATTCCCATTCTGTGCACATAACCTTGTGCAATTTCAACTGATAACCGTTATTTTCTCCTCTGAACTATTGCAGGGGACGTGTGAGCTGCTACATGGCTATTGCTTTTCTCCCAAAGCGACCTTCACTCAAAGGATGACACCTGCTTGAATACACAGTAGCATTCACAGTCTGAAATTAGAGTCATTATGTGAGCAAAGCTCCTGAAGACTTCAGTGGAAGTTTTGCTTGCCTGAGGACTTGGGGATGGCCTACATTTGTTTATAAAGCTTTCCGGTCCATTGGGATACAGAGAACTACCGCGTACAAGCATAAAATTACAACTGTGAGGCAATACCACCATGAGATAAATTATAACACAACTGCACTTAAAAGTGTGTTTAACACAAATTAGCTATATCAAACTAACATTGAAGTTATAGACTGCTGAAGCCGACTAAGGGATCTAATGCCCAGTTGCTTTAAATCTGAGTGGGAACAAGGGATTTGAATTCCTTAAATAGTCTTGAATGTGTTGTAACAGAACCTTCTCTTAAAGCCTCCAAACCTAGCCAAAAGATTTTGCCAGCATCTTTTGGGACACATCCCCCCAACCATACTGCCATTAAAATCAGAGATTTTCAGAAATCCCTGAAAATATTCCAAGTTTGGATGAATTTTTTCCAGAAAAAAAAAAATTGAACAAATGTTTTTCAATAGATCGTTTTGATCCATTTAATAAAAATGTAATTAGGCCATAACTCTATTTAATGAAAACAAACTTTAGCACCAAACCCTCTGTCCTACAACTTGGAACAGAAACAACTGATCACCGAAGACCTGTTCTTGCTCCCTGACCCCAACTGCAATACTTCCATTTTTTTAACCTTTTTAAGAAAGCGCGGAATTGGACTTCAAAAATAACAGTTTTTCCTGGGCAACACTGTACAACTATTTCCTGACAGAACCAAAATGTTAGTGGTGATGGAAAAAACACAGGGAAGCTGGTGACATGAACATATCCTTTCACCATTTGACAATACATTAATAACAAATCTACAAGCCAATACTACTCCTTCCTGGACATCTGCATGTCAAAAGATACTTAAGTAGCATCCCCCTGGATTAAATACTCTTCAGCATTGTCATTCTTTTATTAACAGTCTCTCTTCTTTTTTGGGGGCACTTTTCTCCAGACTGAGCAGAAGTTAGCCATACAGATGGCTCCACTGAAGCCAGAGGGCAGCATATAGCATACAGGTGAACGCTGGGAGGCGTTTCAGACAGCCAGGGCCCCCTGAGGTGAGAAATTTTCCTATATGCGTTTATTGTATTCTAGGAAAAACATTCGGGGAGGAAAAAGAGGGAGGAGAAGGCTGGAGAGCAATACAATAATGATTAGCGTAATGGGATTTGCTATTCTTGTTAAT